GCTAAAAGCTAAAATTTATGCAAACCCTAGCTAAAATTCATTTGAAATTAGAAAAACCCAGCTAAAAGCTAAAATGAGCAAACCACAGCTAAAAGCTAAAGTTTGAAAAATAGTCTGAATGGTAAAATGGCATAGCTATGGCTAGAAGCTAAAACAAACAAAACCACAGCTAAAAGCTAAAATGAGCACGCCACAGCTAAAAGCTAAAGTTTGAAAAATAGTCTGAATGGTAAAATGGCACAGCTATGGCTAGAAGCTAAAACAAACAAAACCACAGCTAAAAGCTAAAATTTATACAAACCTTAGCTAAAATTCATTTGAAATTAAAAAAACACAGCTAAAAGCTAAAATGAGCAAACCACAGCTAAAAGCTAAAGTTTGAAAAATAGTCTAAAAGGTAAAATGGCACAGCTATGGGTAGAAGCTGAAACAAACAAAACCACAGCTAAAAGCTAAAATTTAAACAAACCTTAGCTAAAATTAATTTGAAATTAGAAAAACACAGCTAAAAGCTAAAATGAACAAAAACCTTAGCTAAAATCTAAAATGAGCAAACCACAGTTAAAAGCTAAAGTAAGGAAAATTGTCTTTAAAAGATACAATAAAAAAGCTATGGCTAACAGCTATAACAAGCAAAACCATAGCTAAAAGCTAAAATTTACACAAACCTTAGCTAAAATTCATTTGAAATGAGAAAAACACAGCTAAAAACTAAAACAAACAAAAACCTTAGCTAACATCTAAAATGAGGAAACCACAGCTAAAAGCTAAAGTTAGGAAAATAGTCTAAAAGGTAAAATGGCACAGCTATGGCTAGAAGCTGAAACAAACAAAACCACAGCTAAAAGCTAAAATTAGGAAAATAATCTTTAAAAAAATAAAAATTCAGAGCCATAGCTAAAAGCTAAACTTTGCTAACTAAGCAGTAGCATTAGAAATCAAAAATAGGGTATTTATGTTAAAGTTTTGAAAGGAACAATGGTTTTTGAAGTAAATAAAGAAAATTCAACATATGTGTGGGAAAATGTAGCAAATAAAATGTGATAACTTCAAAAATACTACATTTATAAATACTTAAAGTGCCCGTGACATATTTTTTGTAATAAATATTAATGCAGCTTTTTTAAAAGATAAAATAACATGTTGCAAAACAAATATCTTGTCGCTGAGATGAACAGTTGAGATTTTTGCATGTGAAGAAACAGGAAGTGATGTCAAAATGTCTGCAAGCGAACAGAGTGTTGCTACAATAATTAACAGACTGTAGAAAAGAATCTGATGTTTCTTTAGAGTTTAATTAATGTTTCAACAAAGACAAGAGGGTTTATTTTCTTAGAGTTCCCCTTTGATGTCACTTCCTGTTGTTTTTAGCTGAGCCAATTTCAAAAGAAAATAAGCCAAATATGTGACAAAATAGGTCAAATCATGTGTATTCTGGCAAGTTTCTTAAATATACATTTTTAATTAGACTTTTTGTATTTGAAGGATGTGCATGTCCCAGGAACTTTAAAATCAGTGTTTTTAAAATATGTCAGCTGCCACTGATCCGTCATAATAAACCTCCTGAAACAGCGTGGTTTAGTTGTTTGGGTCTGAGTTTGGCCCGGACCCGTAGTCCCGTCCGTCACAAGGACAGCCATATGTGGCCGGTGCCCCGAGAGCTTCTGATTGGTCCGATTCCTCCCGGTGTGGAGGCTGCGGCGGGCCGGTGTCAGATGGCTAAGCACCCCGCGGTTTAGTTTTTAATTATGCCACCACATTGCAGAGCGCTCACATCTGTCCATCAGGTTCCTGGGAAAGAGCAGCTGAGCTTCATCATTTGTGTAATGCTTTAGTTAGCCCACAACATGTGCAGGAAATCTGCTGCATAATTACTTAATAAAAGGAGATAATCCTTCCAACGTAAGGTGTGGCTGAAATGCTGTTAATCAGCGTATGGAGAGGTCGGCGGCAGACCTTTCCAGGATTTGCGAACAGCCAGTTGTGTGTCAAAGAGAAATTAATTAACCCTAATTGATTGTTTTTCATTATTCTAATGACAACAGAGCAGCGAGTCTGACGGTATCCCTGAGCTTAAATGAGACTGAAACAGCTGTTTGGATCTACGATAGGCCATAAATACGTTGCTCTTCTTTCCCATCCAGAACCACTTTAACACGTAGCATCATCAGCTACGCCGTCATTATCGCCCTTCATGAGGAATAACCCAGAGTTTCTCTTCTTTTACTCCACCGCTTCAAGGTTTCCTCAGTGTTTGGTGCTAAAGTTCATCTGTTGGTTTTAAAGGTAGCTGTTAAAGATCTTATCGGTGTGTGAAAAATAACTAAAAAATGTTCTTTGATTTATTATTAACTTGAAGCAAATCAGATAAAACTAGACATGGGTTTTTACTATGTAAAAACAAGTGTGCATTGCCTTGTAGCATGTCATTGCAGCATGGCTTTGCCTGCAGCATTGGACTTGCAGAATGAACTTTGACCAAGTTCAAATGTGTTTTCTATACCAGCTTGTGTCTGTCACGTCAGCAGGTGTTTGTAATTAAGGTAATTGTGTGACAATATGAAGTTTGAAGAGATTTTTTCTTAAAGTTGCTTTAGCTGGGTTTTGAACCCTGATCTCCCACATGAATGCCCATGACATAGACCATTAGACTGTTGGAGCTGTGGCAGAAGGTGGTGGCAGGGGTTGGTTTGTATGTGTCCAGAAAGAGGCCACATTGCCAATACAATCTTTGACACTAAACTGCAATATATTGCAACAATTGGACAATATTAAGACAGTATTACAGTAAAACATCAAAATACAATCATATTAATATTGTAATCACTGAACTACTGAGTTTAAACATTATGAAACTATGGTGCAGTACCATATTGTGTAGATGTAGCAGGGGGCAGTATTGGACCAATACAAGGCTCAATTGACTGCCATTATAATTTATTAAACATTAATATTTCAAAAAACTATGTTTTACAGGCACCAAAAGGCATAGCCATCATCTGGCACAGGAGCTTTACAGATATAAATTACAATGGCAGCTCTAGGACAAAGTCTGCAGGAGGAGAAGCATGGCAAAGTCGAGATGACTTGGATGGGAAACGAATCACAATAGTGTGCATTGGCAATGATGAGTTTTCTATAAAAAGCAAAGTGAGCACAGAGCTGAAACTGAATTATTAAACTTCAGAAGATTAGAGGAAAGTAAATTAACACAAAGGCTGGCTAAAGTCTAAAAGCAGCACGACAGCTAAAGGTAACAAACAGATGCCTTAAAGCAAAACAACAGCTAAAAAGAAATTAGATTTAGAAGAAAAGCCAAAAGTAAATTAACAAAAAGGCTGGCTAAAATCTAAGCTTAGCATTTTTTTTGTGTCACTTAGCATTTTCTACTGTTTGCTGTTCTTCTAACTAAAAGTTAAAGGTAACAAAGAATAGCTAAAAGACAATGAACAGGAAGTCTGGCTAAAGACTAAAGTTAGCAGAACTAATAATAATAATATGTTACGAAATAAGGCTAGCTAAAAACTAAAAGTAACATTCGTTACCAGTAACAGTTGTTCTGATAACTAAGAGCTCAACAGAAGATTAGCGAAAAGTCAATGAACCGGAAGTTTGGCTAAAGCTTAAAATTAGCAGAACAACTACAAATAACAAAAGCTTGAAATGAACTAAAAGAATAGCCAAAAGTAAATTAACAAAAAGCCCGGCTAAAGTCTAAAATTAGTATAATAGTAGCCAACGGTACCAAATGCTAACTAAAAGCTCAACGTAACAGAAGAATAGCTAAAAACAAATTAATAAAAAGGCTGGCTAAAGTCTAAAATTTGTAGAATAACAGCTAACAAAAGCAAATGCTAACTAAAAGCTAAATGGACTAAAAGAATAGCTAAAAGCTAATGAACAAAAAGGCTGGCTAAAGTCTACAATTATAACAGTAGCTAACAGCACCAAATGTTAACCAAAATCTAAGCATAACAAAAAAATATAGAAGTCAATAAACAAAAAAGCTGGCTAAAGTCTAAAAATACCAGAACAATAGCTAAATGTAATATCTAACTAAAAGCTACAAACAGAAAAAGGCTAGCTTAACGTAGCATAGAAGACAAAACTAGAGCAAAAGTGCTGAATCAAATTAAACAATAAGAAACTGAAGAGATGATGTCTGAAAGCAGGGTGAACACAGCCGAATGACTGCTGAAACGGAGTTATTGCACTTTAGAAGAGCTAAAAGTAGCTACTGTAGCTAAGTAAGCATCAAACTGTCTAGTTTCTGGTAGCAGTAAATAAAAATTTGTCGTGTTTTGAGCAGCTTGTTTGGGCCCCGTGCATTTTTAACAACAAGGTAAACCTTAAAACTGAAAATCATTTCAGAAGTCGTCCGTCTCTCCAGGATCTGACTGAGTGGCAGCGTTGTCGTCAACAATCCTGTGGTGAAAAGTTGGACATCAGGACTCGGGCTCCTGACCCGACACATGACGAGTTGTCGCCGTCGGGGCGTCTCTTTGTCGTGCCGTGCACATGTGAACGAGTGCGGTCGAGGCATCTGTCTCTGAGCGGACAGGCGTTGTGGACAACCTGCTCCTCAGGTGTGGTGAACGGCGCCGTGGGGCCGGCCGCTCTGCTGTGACAGAGGTGTGCTGCGTGAGGGATTTTGTGTGTGTGTGTGTGTGTGTGTGTGTGTGTGTGTTTGCTGCCACTCATCTCTCCAGACAGCACTTGGAGCCGAGCCGAGCTGCCTCCTCTGCATCTCATCGGAGCTAATTAACTACTCAGAACTTTATGATTGGGGGGGGTGCTTTGGTGCACTGAACCTCGTCCAATTAATTAAGAGCTAAACGGGCGCCAGCGCTCGCCCCAAAGACTCCCCCGTCAACAAGTTGATTTTCAGCCTTTCTTTATTTTTCACGGGGGGCCCCTGATGTTGGTTTACAAGCAGGATCCTTGTAATCAGCAGTCAGTGGGGCGAAGGAACACGCAGCCTGGCGGTGATGGTGTCACCGTCTCTGTTCGGCTGCGTCACCTGTCACAAATCAGTCCCGTCAGCCTCGTCTGCGACTCCATGAGCGTCTTCGTGTGTCCGTGGATGTCTCCTGATGGAATGTGCTGACGCTCTTTTTTCTGTTTATTCAGGTCATCAAAGACCCTCCGCCACCTCCTCCACCTTCTCGTCCCCCGCCACCTGTGAGTACACAACTCTGCTGCAGTCAGACGACAACACAATAGATCTGTTCACAGAAGACGCGGAATCACAAAATAAATACAACTGAGTTAGAGGTTTTTACTTTTGAAACTCCTCATTGAGATGGAGGGCTGATGATTTCCACTCCTCAGTAACAAACACTAACTGAGCTCTACCTGGTGTTTCCTGCATAGAAACGGTGTTTTAACACGTCCTTCTATAAACACCAAATATGAAATAAACACGACAGAGTTACAGGTTTTTACCTATTGCATCACATCAACAAAAACACCTCATTGTGACGGAGGGCTGATGGTTTGTGCTCCTCGCTAACAAACACTATCTGAGCTCTACCTGGTGTTTCCTTTATGGAAACAGTGTTTTAACACCCCTTATAAACACTGAAAAGTTTTACGTGTACATCTGACTAAATATGTAATTAGTACTACTGAAGTAAATATAAGAGTTTTTTTCTCACTGAGTTGCTGCCATCTTGAATTCTGAACTCTCTCGCTTCCCCACAGGGAATTCTCACATTTTAAATTTACGACTTGTAAGTGAGAAATTCCCATTTCCCAGTACAACTGGGCCACAGCAAAAGTTACTGGCAAATACGCAGCTAAATTTAGACTTTGAAATTTGATGGCTACTTTGGAACCACGTGCAGCTCCACCTAGTGGTGGGATGCCATCATTTTCTGGGGTAAAATAATCAACATGCATTGTGGGAGATGTAGTTATGGTCAGTGCTTTAGGTCTATTCACTAAATTTCTCAAGGGGGCACAGTTACTCAAAGTCAACATCTCAGGAGTCGGAGGAGTATAAAATTAAAATTGTTTATTTTGTTGCATTGAATCATAAGTTTAAAGTTTACAATTAATTTAAAATCTATTTTTTATGTTAAATAAAGCAAAAAATAAAAGTAAACGTTGGTGGGCCCTACAGAAGTGACCCACTGGCCACGTTTAGCCTGCGGGCCTTGAGTCAAACCACTACTGATATTTTAATCTTTGACAGGGTGGATCTATTTTCTCATGACTGAAATTATTTAATGAAGTCTTTGAAATCGGTTCGTGTATTTGTGGTCACTCCTTTTTTTATTTTAAAAACAGATTGAAAAATGGACGACTCCATAATTATTTTATGCTCCAAAAACAGGAAAATGCTCCGTTTCTTTTTTGTTTTTTCTCAAACCAGAAGTTTAACTTTGTTGTTATTAGAACATTTAAAAAGGAGCTAGTTAAGTAACTTTTAAAAATAAATAAATAAATGCTAGTGAACTAATTTTGCAGTTGATTTGGCTATTTCTTTAAAGTATTTATCTAGCTCCACATTAAATGGTCTGATAAAGTGATGAATAAACATTTTAACTTTTTAACTAGTTAACCAGACTAAACTCTAGCTAACTAGTGATATATTTCTTTACCAGGGGTCGGGGGTTTTAGCTCATTTCTCTCCAAGAGGTAAACTCTATCCTGTTTGGCAAAAATAAAGAACTTTTACAGTAAAAACTTAAAATAAAATAACCGCCAATTTTTCTAAACCTGACCAAAAGGTACAGTAAGTCACTAAAATCTTACTTCCTGCTAACAGTCTCGTACTTCCTTATTTTTGTATTTATACTGTATATTTCTCATTTTTTCCAGGAACCAGAGCCGCTGCCGAAGAAGAAGTGGCCGACTGTGGATGCCTCGTACTACGGAGGAAGAGGAGCAGGAGGGATCAAACGCATGGAGGTCAGAGCCTCACCGTCCTCCTGGAACTCACTGGTTTTACTGTAAAAACAGCCGAAGTTGTACAGAGACCTCAAACAGCTGGAAGTATCCAGCTGTTGTAACCTCCTGAAACCTGCTGACGCTGACGTTCTTCCTGTGAGGGGTAGAAGTTTGTGGAGTTGTGCAGGCTGCAGGCGGAGCAGCCGACTGACTGACTGACTGACTGACTGACTGACCGGCCCAAACGCTGTCCCCGTCACTCCGCTGATGCTCCCGACATGACAGGACCTGCCATCTTGTCCTGATTGGATCAAGTCATGACTGGGTGAAAGATTGAGGGCTGCTGTCAGCCTGACACGTCCTCCTCGCTCTCCTCTCCTCTCCTCTCCTCTCCGCTCCCCATTCTTTAACTCTTGGATTTCTGGGGCGTCTCTTTGTGTCCCAGCTCCTCTGAAGACGAACGTCCCTCCTCCTCATCCTGATCTCAGCTCTGAGGAAAGGTGGTGCTTCCAGAGATTTCCCAGCATCCTTCAGGATCTCTACAGCTCAACTTTGTAAACATGAATTTATATAAATACAGATTTCACCTCAGTCCTCCTGAAGGGATTCAGTTTATGTGAATACTTCAGAGTATTCAGAAATATACTTCAAAGTATTCAGAAATATACTTCAAAGTATTCACAATGACACTTTGAAGTATTCACAAAGATACTTCAGAGTATTCACAAAGATACTTCAAAGTATTCACAAAGATACTTCAAAGTATTCAGAAATATACTTCAAATTATTCACAAATATATTTCAAAGTATTCACAAAGATACTTCAAAGTATTCACAAAGATACTTTGAGGTATTCACAAAGATACTTTGAGGTATTCACAAAGATACTTTGAAGTATTCACAAAGATACTTCAAAGTATTCACAAAGACACTTCAAAGTATTCACAAAGACACTTCAAAGTATTCACAAAGACACTCCAAAGTATTCACAAAGATACTTCAAAGTATTCACAATGACACTTTGAAGTATTCACAAAGATACTTCAAAGTATTCACAAAGATACTTCAAAGTATTCACAATGACACTTTGAAGTATTCACAAAGATACTTCAAAGTATTCACAAAGATACTTCAAAGTATTCACAATGACACTTTGAAGTATTCACAAAGATACTTCAAAGTATTCACAAAGATACTTCAAAGTATTCACAATGACACTTTGAAGTATTCACAAAGATACTTCGAAGTATTCACAAAGATACTTCAAAGTATTCACAATGACACTTTGAAGTATTCGCAAAGATACTT